AGTATTTGTGGATATATTTATTTTATTCTAAACTGCTAAACTCTTTCTTTTATACTCACGTTCCTTATTTTTTATTCAAAGTTTTACAGAGTGTTGATATTGTTGACCTAAATAATTATACTCTGTTTCTTAAGGTATTTGTGGATACATTTATTTTATTCTAAACTGCACCAACAGATAAACTCTTTCTTTTATACACGTGGTCGCGTGGTCGTGCACTTTGTTCTACTACTCTACGCTCTTTTGTCTTGTACTCTTTCTTTTGTTTCTTACTACCGTTATTGAAAGCGACACTGAATACTAATGTGTAGGTACGATGATGATAATTTATCTCAATCACCGTACTACAAATTGAAATAACAATTCCATATTTAATTTTAATAATTTATATAAAAATATTATCAATGTAACAAAATATATATTAACTAAAATATTTTTTATAAATAACTAATAATGAATAACGAATAATATGGTATATATATATATATATATATATATATATATATATATATATATATATATACATCTCCATGGTAATAGTTAATGAACTAACAATTTTCTATTGTTTATGAGTTTTATTAAGTTGGAGATGTCGGTTTATCGGGAACACACTTTCCGATTTAGTGAACATAGATAGCGTTGATTTCAATTCCGCGGAGGTTGTAGCGGCCGCTGCGAATGTACATTTTCACGCAGAGGGAAAACAACATGTCAGCGTTGATTGGAACGTTCCCGAGTGAAAAAGAGCAACTTCCACGAACGTTTGAGAAAAAAAAAAAGAGGCAGTGCAGCTGTTTACAGCGCGCGGAGATTAAAGACTGGCGACGAATACGCGACACAAGGATGTTTACGATTCCCATTTTACGAGGTTGTCGCGTAACAAGCGATATTCCCAAGCGGACAACGTTCCACGCGAGGCGAGGGCCCGGCATCCTTGGTACGAGAGCGCGGCCCGACGAAAGTTAAAAGGAGAAGGCTCGGCAACGGCCGCGGTGAGCGCGGCGATCAATCGTACCCAGAAGGGGGATCCAATCGTAAAATAATTATACAATTACCGCGGGCTCGTAATTAATTGCTCGCCGTTTCAACGTTTACCCCGGCTGCGAGTCGTGCAGCAGTGAAACTGTGCTCGTGCTCGCGCCCGCGCGCTCGTCCGCGTGGCATTAATTCATTAACGTTGCACCGTCAAACGTATTTGCCCGTAAAATTGAACGGCCGGCGTATTCGCGATTATTTGCTTAACCAATTTCCGAACGGCGATAGGCCGACGCTATTCCACGCGATTTTACGATCCGACTTTGCCGAGAGTTCACCTCTCTTTCGAAGAACGAATAACCGCTTCGAGAACGTTAATTAGCTACGGGCTTCTATTGTTTCTATCGGGCGAGATGTAGATGATCGAGAATCGACAACCAACGCGTCTCTGAACGATGAAGAAGAAGAAGATTTGTTGACGATGCGACGCGACGCGGAGAAACGGTCGGTTGTACGAGTATGCATCGATGCAATATCGACAACCGCTACCACGGGCCGCAACACGACGGTGCAGTTGCAGTTAATTTGCTCACTCCAAGTGTGTTTGATTCCCCTAATTAATTGATCGGTAGGGTCACCGTGGCACGGCGCGTATACGGATGGCAGTAATCAAGTGCGTGCCCCTGGTACCAGGGCTACGCGTTCGTACGCGTTTGCCTACGAGTGGGCTCGCCTGTTCCACGATTTCGTGCCTTTTTTTCACACTTTCGACGTTAATTTCTTTTAATTATACATATATACGCACCGACGTCCAGCGCAAGACATGCTTTTTAAGCACTTTCTTTGCACTCTTACGTCATGCTGGAGATGACGACACTAATTTACTCAAAAAACGCGTACGTTACGCTGCAGATGGTAACATTAAATAAACTGTAAAACACTATGTGGGGCATTCACACTCGGCAATAGTTTGCCAAGTTTTGTTAGTTTATCAGTACAATTTGTGGTTTATCAGTACAAGCCGTGCACGAAATTTTTTTTCACTTTACTTTAATTCATTTCTCTAAGAATAAATGCAAGTTTACATCCAGCAACATTCACAATAAATCGAGTGAAAGATATTTCTAACAGACGTGAATGAAATATAATCAAAGTGGAATTTACAGAATTCGTGCGGCTGAAAATTTTATAAATAATCCGCTTTCTTAAAGCTCCCTACTGTTGAAATGTAGTTATTATCCGTTAAATTAATTGCTTCCTGTTGATTGCTTACATTTTTTCTTCACCTTGCTTCATTCGGTCAATTCTACACCTACTTTCTACCATTTCTCGTATTTATTTTATTTCTCGTTTCGCGTCGATCACTTCTGTTCAATTTCATTATTAAGGAATCGCACGACGCTAGGAATTTTGCAATTGATAAATTTCGTTTGTCAATGATCAACCTATCCTTTTACACCATTCGTGAAAGCCTCCTCCCGATCATTTGCAATATTCTCGCCTCTTTTCGTTCACGGTCGTTGAACAACGTTCGAATAGCCGACGACATCGTGATGCAACGTTGTCGCGAAACTCGCGGCCTCTCCATAAAACGCGGCGTTATCGGGAGAAAGGAGGCGAAATACGGCGTGAAATACGAACATACTGTCTCGGGGATAGGCAACGAATGGCGCGGTCGTAACCGGAATCGTAAGCAGTCGTCGGTGAGGGCCGATCGATCGAGTGTCCCGGTCGCGTCGGCGATGCTTATGACGCGGCTTGTCGGACAAAAAGAAAGCGTAACGAGACTTACCCAAATGGCCGTTCTCGTAGTAATCCCCGTTGTCCATTCGGTGCTTCTTGAGCGAATGCTGGGGGTGGTGACCGGTCGCCGCAGCCAGGTGGCTGGTTGCGAGACTCAGACCGACGGAAGCTCTCTTCGGTGGTCTTCCTGGCCTGGAGCTGTACAGTGGTAGAGAGTTACTGCGGTTAGAGACACCTGTCATCGAGGTAACGTCTTACCCCGATCGTCGAGCTTACGACTGTCGTCGTAAGTGTTTCGATTGCATCGCGAGAAAAGACGTTCCCCGGGATAATTGTATCCAGGATAATTGGATCGATTAATCTACGACGAATATTTCGCGCGACACGTGACGCTGGTATCTTTTTTCATAGTGATCGGCCGGGTCCGTCTTTTCTCACGAATCGATCACTCTTCGGCCGGTCCCCCGGCTCCGATCTCGAGACCAACCGGTCTCGAAGGAAGAGAGGAAACGCTCGAATGGAGCTCGATGACCAAGTTCTGGTCGCTACGAATGTCAATTAGTCTCTATCTATGAACGTGACGACGTTTCGAGGACTGGTTCTCGGCTGGCTGTGGCCGAACGAAACTCACCTTCTCGCGGTCACGCGTGCTCTACGACATTGCCGCGATAAACTTAGCCGAGAGTGGAAGATAAAGGTACCAACACAGCCGGGATTTGCGTAACTTTTCGTATCGCGAAGGCTCGATTGTTCCGGGAGAGAATCCAGAAACTATTCTGCGACTGTCATTATCGACTCTCGCGAACGTTCGCTAAATCAGCGACGGTCAGGGAGAAAAAGGGTCTACGTGACGACTAGCCGTGAACAGTGTGCCGCAAGTTGCGCGAAAAAGCGTGGCAGTGTGCAGCGATCCACAGGAGTGGATGCTGCGGCTGGCAGAAACGTTCATTTTTCACAGGCGGCAGGCGCCGCGCCGCGTCAGAGGCGCTTCCTCATACACACACACACACACACACACACACACACACACATATACAGGGTGTACGCGTTAAGTTTCGTCACCAGTTTTTAGGCATTTCCGGTAGTACAATTAGAAAATGTTTCAAACAACATTTTTTTAGTATCTGATGGGCTACATGTTTCCATATTCCTAAATCTCAAAGAATGCTTTTTTACGTAGAAAAGTCAAGGTCACCTTGACTTTTTTTAAATGGCACCATATGTTTTTGACATCACAGGATTGTTGCCGATGTCGAGACGAATTCAACAGTGCTGTGAACTTTGAAATGACCTTAAACTATGATACAGAGCACCGCTCTGTGTATTAGACTTTTCGTTGTTGCTATAATTACAACGTCTCTGTTTACTTTCGTCGCTTCCCATATGACGTTTTGTACAAAATTTTCGAGTTTAAAGTCATTTCAAAGTCACAGTATGATACATCGTTGAATTCGTCTCGACATCAGCAACAATTCAGTGATATCAAGAACATACGGTGCCGTCTTAAAAAAGTCAAGGTGACCTTGACTTTTCTTAAATCTTTCTTGAGATTTAAGAATCCGGAAACACGTAGCCTATCAGATACTAAAACAATTTTGTCTGAAACATTTTTCAGTTCCACTACCGAAAATGCTTAAAAGCTGGTGACAAAACCTAACGCATATACAGGGTGTTTCGTAACTTGTGGAAGCTGATTATACGCCTAAAAATAATGAAAAAAAGTCATATAAATGTATGTCCTATCTGTCTTCGTTTATGAGACATAATGAATTTTCTGTTTTAATTACTTTTACAAAAGATGCTCGAAATGACCACTTTGCATTTGAAGACAAGCCTGCACGCGTCTTGTCATTCATCTGGTTACTCTCTCTATCATTCCTGATGTTTCTCGAATTTGTCGGAAGTCTCGCTCCATTCTATTTCGTAGTATTTCAGTATTTTCAATCGATGTTGCGTGTACAATAGATTTTAAATGTCCCCGCAAATGAAAATCTAATGGATTCAAATACGGAGAACGAGCAGACCATGCAATAGGACCTCCACCAATCCATTTATTTGCAAAGTGTTGATTTAAAAATTGCCTAGCCTCTCGGCTAAAATGCGGCGGAGCTCCATCGTGCATAAACCGCATACGAAGTCTAATATCGACTAGAACTTCCTCTAATATTTCGTGTAAACGCATGCTCAAAAAATCAACGTACTTTGTGCCTGTTAGTTCCTTATCAAGAAAAAAAAGGTCCAATTAAAAATTTATCAATTATTCCTGCCCATATGTTTAAACTAAACTGGTGTTGATGTCTTGAATGCACAATAACACATGGGTTTTCTTCATCCCAATTATGATTATTATGAAAATTGAATATACATCTCTGGTAAAATTAGCTTACTAGAGTCTGCTCTGTTTATAAAATTCATTCATATCTCATAAACAAAGACAGATAGGACATATATTTATATGACTTTTTTCATTATTTTTAGGCGTACAATCAGCTCCCGAAGTGGGTCCCACAACTTACGAAACACCCTGTATATACATATATGTACATGTATACATGGACATGTGATTCGAGCTTTTGCTTTCGCCAGGGAAATGTGCCTGAAACTCATTGCAGTAGGATCCTTTCTTTCTATATTCTCGATACAGAGACTATATTGTTCTAGCGATTCTCAACCGCGACTCCGATCGATCCTGCTGACTCCCGAGGACAGCCAGTCTCGTGCCGAAATCCGTTTCGAAAACCGATAATCTTGCTCGATCGACGGCGTCCTTTGTAGGCTGCAGCCCACTGGCGGCACAGCGTAAACGATTTCATTCGATGAGAGCGACGTCGACGAGAAGGGGGCGGATCGCAGCGTCGCGATGAAAATGGAGCAAAAGAGAGCGAACGAAAATTGAAGTGCCGCCGTGGACGAGGAAAAAGGAAGAGGAGAAGTCCTCCCAATATTATATATATATATATATATATATATATATATATATATATATATATATATATATATACATTCAGTGCTCCAAAGGCGGTTTCAACGAAACGCGCATTTCAACACGGGTTGAGGATCTCTGCCTGGTAAGCGAGCAATCTCATAGTAGTCAGGACAGATTTGTAAATCTAATTTTTCATCCCGTCTTTCTGCCAGCCCTCTCTCGCTTTGCCTCTTCACGTTTGCCCACGGTGTTCCTCGTCCTTGTTCCGCGTTCGACTCTACGCTCTCTTCCTCGCGTCTCCCGATCTCTCGATCTTCGTTCTTCGTTTCCCTGGCGCCCTCCCACTTTCCCACTCGTTCTCCGTTCTTCGTGCCTCTCGTTCGCGTTCTATCGTACTCTCGTCCTCTCTCGCCGTCTTCTTGCCCTCTCTGTCCCTCCACCTGTTCTCACGCACGAGATCTCCAGACGATTCTCAGACGGCCGGTTTATACGGCGTTGATCTCTTAAACCGCTTAGCTTCGGGTTACACCGAAAACAAGAACGCACTCTCAAACGCTTAGACCCGTATAATGCGTACTTGTTTGCGTACGAGTCTGCCGATGAAATGAGAAAAGCCTCGCTGTGAAAACGGACGCGCGTAACGACTCTGTCCAAGGTCCGCCAATCTGCGCTACAAATTTCGCGGATTCGATAACGTTGGAGATAAATTAGACCTAATCTCCCGCTCTATATGTTTTTTTTTTTTTTTTGCACAACGTAACTAGCAGCACCTAGTACGTTAGATGATAAAATAAACTGTCGGTCGTTGCTCTCTTGTTTTGAGAGTGACTGAATAAACATAGTACGCGTGTGATCTGTGAGCGCCGAATATCCAGAAAAATCCAACCCAAGTCCGTTGTAATTATAACAGATAAACGCGTGATGAATGAAAAAAAAAAAAGGTCCAGATGTGATCGTACGTGGAGTGCGTGAGAGAACCGAATGATCAGAAAACGATCGACCGGATATCGAGAAAGTGTGTTTACGAAACCGCCGTTGCACGATTTCGCGAGGATAAAAGGAGCAATCGTGACCGATCATTGGCTAAGAGATCGAGAAAGAGTAGGAGATCGGTAATCGGTCATTATTGCCGCAACGACGGAGCCCCGTAGCTACCAGACTTCGTTTCAAATCGGTGGAATTAATTCCCCTGCAAGCGAGACAGGATACCTTTGATACGTTGATCACGCCTGTTGGCGCCGACTTTTTCCTGCGTGCGCTTGAAAAATCTAGATGGTTATCAGTGACGGATTGCGGGCGCACATTTAACTGCTTCAGATCGCGATAAAAAAAACTACTGGAAACGAAGGAATTCCTCGAGACGCCGTAATCGTCGTAACGATCGAGCCGATCCGAACTACGGTTCGCGTATGAAATTTGTGGAAATTCAGATTGAAACTAACGGCAGTAGAATGGCACACAGCTACCCGTAAGATTATCGGCAATGTAATAGATAGAATTGAACGAAATCTATTGTTTATCGTTGAACTATACTATAGTATATACGAGAGTTAGACTCTTAACGCTCCTTGTACGTGTAATTGGAATACACTGGACGAGTTGCCGGCCGAAATAAATACGCCTACAACTCGCATCGAACCTGCCAGATAATCGATCCAGATCGATCGATTAGATACAAGTTTCGTTCGCGTTGCGCTCGATTCGCGTCCGGTCGTATATCGCGTGTGGGATTCGCGATGATCGCGCCAGGTGCTATCCTTTGATCCGATCATTCCCCGCCTTAATGAACGTTGGCACCGCAGAAGCGGCTCCTCGTCCGGCCGCTCGGTGAAAACGCGAAGAAAAAAATCCGGCGGCGCTGAAATCCACGAAGACGTACAAAGATATACGTCCGCGAGGGGAAATATTCGTTACAAACTTATCACATTCGCCATCGTTGAAACGATTCTCGATTGTTTGGGACGAAATCGTTGAAATTCGGCAGAAAGTAAGATGTCTGAGCAACGAGTGAGAATTATAAACAAACAGATGGAGAGGCAGAGAGAGAGAGAGAGAGAGAACGGAGTGGAGAGACGAGGACGGAATCGAGCGACTATAAATTGTCAATTTCGAAGTCAATTTGCCCGGGCTTACCAATCGGCTGCCGGTTAATTTCAAGGTGAATTGTGTCCAATATGGGTATATTATTAATGGCCCGGCGAGGGATAGGGTGCACTCCAGAGCGGAGGGTTGCAACCCCGTTTTCGCGCACTGGCCAAATCTATCGCTCGGG